TCTAAGGAATAGGTAATCACATTTTTAGTATAATATATACGTCGTATCTCAAAGCTGAAAAACTTTTTACCAAAAAAAAAAAAAATTTAAATTTCTTATAATTTGTTTTACATATAATTAAATCAAAAGAAAAATTTCTTTTAATTTGTATTTTAACTTGTTTATATGAGCTTTAAATTAGTGATACAATATGTCTTTGGTTAAAAGTTATTATCCTAAATATAAGGACGATTACTTTTGTACATATACAGCAGATCAAGAGTTTAAATAACAAGTTGTTTTTTTACTCCCCATTTTGCACTAAATCTTTTGATGGATTGAATTAGAATTTGATAGTTTTCAATGTTCAACCTCCAAAGTTAACTCGTCAATAGTATTATTCATGCACTTGTATTTTAATTAGACATATAGTATGTATACAGATTGTATGTAAATTACTTTGCAGTACTGTTATAAAACTCTCACAGCAATGGTAAATAAAATATTCGTTTGCAGCTAAAAAATTGTGTTTGGTTTGGTATTATCAGACGCTTGTCTGTGCTTATCCAAAAATGTTTAAATCAAAACAGTCCAAAAAAAGTGTATCATTGTTTTTTGAAATAACCAATTACTGTAATTTATTAGATGATACTTTGCACAAAATACAACTATTTCAAATGATGCATGATAAAAAAAATTGAAAATTTTCCTTGGTACCATAACAACGATGTTAACGATCAACTTTTTGCACTAGCTCCTATATAAGTATAAGTAGGGAGACGTGGAACTTTAAAACGTCCTCATCAGTTGTAGTTTCTTTGAAAACGTGACCAAACGATATGATTTGCCAGTTTCACCAATCAGAACAGCCCGATCAGAAATTACTAATGTATTGCAATACACGTTTCTTCAGTACAGCACACGAGAGAGAGTGGGAGTCATTCTGTATAATCTGGATCGCTACGCCGAACACAACTAATACTCGGACTGCATATATTTATTATCCACATGTACGTGGTTGAAATAAAATATGAGATTGTCGCGTAGTGTTATCAGAGTGTTATACTTGTATACTTAGTGCTCGATAAAGCCGTGAAAGAAACTAACAGATGCACAGTTGCACACGCCGAGATCGCGAACACAAGTGCGTGGGTGTACATTTTAATGGTGTAAATATCTACAGATAAGTAGTTGGAAATTTTTACTCAAGATAAAATCAAACATACAAATACGTATTCGTATGGATGTGTGTATGTATATATAAAGAACGCGTGCAACTATACGTGCATACGTCAAAGCAAAGCAGCTGTTGTAATTATTTTGCTCTCACCGACAGAATCGAGTCTCCAAAGAATTGATAAAAGTAAGTAGCCGGTGAATTATTGTTCTTTTTTTTATTATTTTTTTTCTACATTCCAGCAGATTCTGACGTATACCCAGCGTGAGCACACTCGAATGTTATTGTTTATTGTATTTAAGAATATTACGTGATAAGAGCCGTGTTTAATTATTGTCTATTACTTCATTGCAGTATACATCCTACCGGCAGTGACAACAGATAACAAACATTATGAGACAGTTGAAGGGCAAAACGAAAGAGACGAGCAAGCAGAAGAAGGAGCGCAAAAAGGAGTTCCTCGAGATCAAGCAGCGTGTATTCACTTACGTGTTGCCGACCATTGCTGCGGTATTCGCCTTCATCGTGGCATATGTTTACCTCAAGACGCGTCCCAAGAACATTGAATATTGACTCCTGACCTCTTATGTTAAGATTTAAGAATGAGAAAGCTAAAGGTTTATTTATTGCATTTACTTTTTTGTTGTTCTAATCAGGATTCTCTACCATCTTTTTCAACACTAATGGGTTCTCACAATGGAGATGTCTGAATTTTTTTAGCACTTCGCCTTTTTTTTTTTTTTCAAGGCATTTTTTTGGAAGAATTTTTTGGGAAAGCATTGTTTGCTATTAAAATCATTCTTTGTAGCGACTAATTTATTCCCGTGGTCTTTCATATTTGCATTTCAATTGACAAGAGGATGATCCGTAATATCATCAAGTCTTCATCGGTGTAATTTCATACAATCAAAAAGAGATATGTACGAATATTTTTTTAGTCTGAATGATAATAAAACTAGAGCATGTCTAGCCGGCTAAAGTAACATACCCGAATCTCTTACTTAATATCAGGGAATTCGCCTCATGATGTTTAAGCAGGGGTTGAGCGTGCCCGAAGATACTTTATATAAGCTTTGTTTGTACTTGAGGCTGCAGCGTACACCACAAAATCGTATTTATATTACAACGACAAGACCAGATACAAGGCACACTTACAGATGTAACTCACTGACGTAAGTTATATAATATCTTTATGATAAAAAAATATATATATATCATATATCGTTGTAATAATAGTAGCTTTATCTTGTGTTTGAATTTTTGTACAAGCATAGAATGGTATTCATATGTTTGAAAGAATTTTAAATGTTTTTGCTTCTTTATCACGTAAAATGGTTGTGCCAACAAGTTTCAAGTACTAATTAATTCTTGTTACTTCTAAAATATTTACACAATGTTTTTTTCTCGATTGTATTTTATGAAAAAATTATTAAACTGCAGTTGTTACACAATCTTTTGTTGCAGTTTCTTAGAAAATCATGTTATAATTTTAAGCCAATAGTTTGATACACTTAGAGGAATGCCATGTTTTACCAGTTAATAAAGCAGTGGCATCGATTTTCAAGCCATCAAAATGATTTACATTGAACCACTTCACTATCTGCAGTATTAGAACAAATATTGCAAGTAAACACTTGCACACTTTTTTTATTCTTCATTATTCATTCTAAATAATTATAGCAGTCAGTTACGTACACTTTCAAGACTTGAATGTTAATAATTTTGGCTGAAAAAAATATCAGAAGGGTTTTGTTCGTCGATGCCTTGCACAATTTTCTTCTAAGGAATAGGATTAATTTATATGGCAAGGGTGGGGTTTGGGTGGTTCATAATGGAGACACGGATTGTAGACACAAGTACAGGTTTCCAAATTTCAACGTTGCGTACGTGATACTTGAAGTTTTTCCAAATTGTGTAAGCGAAAACGGGGCTGAGTCCTCGATCCCAGGTGAGAGATCTGCGAACGCGATTTTGATGATGGCGTGTTCTATTGGGGCCGGCTAGATGCGCTTTAAAACTATGTGACTTAGTTGCCCAATTACAATACATAATGAAGTAATGAAAGGGTAAAATCTAGAATAAATATTAATAAATGTAAAAATACAGATGGGTCCAAAAATGTAAGAATATGTTCGAATTACTTCGAAAAATTCGATATTTCGATAGCAAAGAATATTTGTTGAAATTTTTTTTTCTCTTGATGAAAACAATGACAAATTAAATACATGTACAGTGTAATATCATTGTAACATGCTCAATATCATTGATGCCTAAAGAAATCAATGCTATTAAATTTTAATCGAAAGATGAGTATTTACGATATTGTTAATTGGTAGTTCATTTTATATACATAAACTTTAAGATAGATTATATAAGGAAATATTTTTTTAATTGTTGTATTAACATGTATCCTCAAAAAAACTATTAAAAAATATAAAATTTTTAATCTACATACCTGCGCCTTATGAATATTTCCTCAAACCTTAAACAAAACAATTATACTATACTATATATTTCAGTCAATAGTGTTTCATAATAGTTCAATTTCAGTTTCATAAAATTAGTTTGTATGAAGAATCGACCGTGAAAAAATAAAATAAAATCAAGTTAAGATGTTTGACAGCTACCCACAGTGGTTCAGCGGAAAGGCGTTTGCTTTTCAAAAAAACGACATTTTACCGTACAAGGGCAATTGTTTTTTATTCATAGTAATCATTACTAAATTGTACATAAAATCTAGTTATAAATAAATAGAGATCCCATCAAGTATAAAATAAAGTTTTTATTCTTAAATATTTCATACAAGCTATATGTGGATAGATGATGCCATCTCACTTTTTAGGCCTTATTTCTCACTTCAAGTTATAATAAAGATTCAAAGTTTTTTAATTTTGATCTATTCATTTGAGTACATTTAATAGCTATATATATTAGTTATCTCGCCATTGAGTGACAACAATTATTTTTGAAATCACATAGTAGATCAATTCATAATAAGCTATGACTTTTTTACATAATGGGATCAATTTGAAATATTATTATGGTTGAAAATTTTGTCTCTAAAGTTGTGTGTCACACAAGCAGGTCATTATTTTTGCTTCTCAGTGTCGTTAAAATTTTTCCAGTCTTTTGATGCTTCAAGTTGAATCTGGACAAGTAATCAACTTGAGCAACTGTCAATGCTATATATAGTCTTTATCCTGTATAAGAAAATTGCCAATAGCCTCTCTGTAAGTATTTGCATCTTAAAATGATTTTTTTTATCTGTGTCTTACCTGCCTCCATACTTTCATGAAGTCTTCAGAGTTTTTAATGTAAAATTTTGTTTTGAAACCATCTTCAAAAAAAACTTATTCGATTCATCAAGAGTTTTTATTTGAAAAGTTGTGATTGATCTTGTCTTGATTTTCATTACCTTATTTGAGTAACTATTAAATATGTCACCTACCAATAAAACTCAGTTAATCATCAGATTATTTTTGCACCCTGTGTGCATTAGCAAACATCCAAATTATGTTCATTAATGATTGCAAAGTCAAGTCTCTACCCAAGTAGCATATTTTTATTAATACAGGCTTTTCTTTGTTTGTAAAACATTTGTTGACCAGTCTGGTTCAACATACAGTGGTATTTAATGGATTTGGTTTTTCTCATATATCAGATGTAAACATATTTCACCCATTTTAAGAGAGCCAGTACAATAACAAGTTTTTCACCTAGTTTTTTAAGTTCTCTGTTTAATTTAGTAGATTCCGTAGGTGTTATTTTTGCAGCAGTTTTTGTCAGCTAAGTTTTTTAAAACTTCGTATACCTGAAATTTGGAAACCTTTGTTCCTAATGAGCGCCAGAGTAGCCTGTTTGATTGAAGCCTACTATTGTAGTTATTTTTTTAACAGCTCTAAGTACCTGAAAATTTTTTGATTTCACCATAAGTACTTTTATGTAAGCAGGACACCTAAACACCTGATAATGTTCAGCTGGAGTTTTAATTTTTTTAGTCAAAACTTTTTAAATTGTGAAGTTTTGTTGCACTCATTTTTATAGAACTAAGTTAAAATTGATGTCCTCAATTTTTTCATGAAGTTGAAACCTTACTATCTTTCCATAACTTTTGAAATAGTTGCTACTAGTTATTGATGGTTCTCATAAAAAGCTAGGCTCTTTTTACACGTTATTAAATATGTTAGAAAATACATTTCTGTATGATTTTTTTTTATTTACAAGATACTTTTTTAAACAATAGTAGGACTGCAATAACTTCAATGCATGACATTCAATGAAATAAAAATATTGATTAACAATACAATGAATTCAGTTTCTCAATGTGAGGTTAGTTTTCATGAATTTGCTGTTGTATAACTAGTTAGCATTCTAACTTAATTTCACTGATTTCAGATGGTGTAAGGTAAACTCTCAACCTACACAACATAATGTACATTTTTTGGCAACTGATGTCTTTTGTTTTAATCGTGGAAGTAAGTACAGTGGTATGGTATCGGGTATGAAATCTAGTGATGCCCAGTATTTATCGATATTTTGACGCTCGGTCGATGATGTTTTTTATTGTTATTTTTGGTGGTGATATATCGCCATATCAATAAATGGAAGCGATATCGAAATCCGATGAGGAAAAACTCACAACACTGAAATGCCTATACACAAACATAATTATTATGCGCGAAATTTAAAAAGCTATTTGGTGATTAGCTGGTTGCCTAATATATGACGTATTGGTGATATTCAAACTTCGCACGTAAGAATCAATGTTTGGCGAGTGCACTTATTTAATAATAATAGTTAGTGTATTGCGAGCTGTTTGTAGTTTTAATTAGTAAAGTTTGTGTTAGTATAGTATGTTACTGTAGTTCTTTCAATAATTCAAGAGAGCTTCGGACATGAGGTTAAAAGCAATAAATAATTTGTTAAAAATTAGTGTTGGCGCAACAGTTTTTTTTCTCATAGTTATTCTTAAACTCTAATGTATTATGAAAATATAAAAATGTTTTAATTCATTATTCATAAATTTATGAACCTTTCTTAACGATATTATGGTATCGTTCAATTATAGTCTGATATCCTATATTATCAATGATTCAATACTGATTATTAACGATAAATTAACAAATTAATGCAATATATCTTTCTACAATTTATTTTTTGGTGGAGTCAGGAGGGGATAATCTTTAGACGCCTCAACCGAGCCGGTGATAATATCGGATTAACATCGTGTGCCTACCGATTAAAAACTAACCTCTCCGCTTGGGATAGGACTTGTAATGCTATCGTGCAATAATGTACTTCAAGAGATCCCGCACCAATCGACACGATTAGTCTGAAAAATCCGAAAGTTTTAAACAAGTACTATTACCTATTAGCTGTGAATTTCGTAGGTTTACGTTTACACTGATTGTAGTCCTGAAAAGGACTGATTTTAGGTAGGAAATTAGGAATCACTCGTTATCCGCCAAAGCCGTACAAGGTACGACCCTGACGCTTTAATGCATACACGACGTCCATAGCCGTAACGGTCTTCCTCTTGGCGTGCTCCGTATACGTCACTGCGTCCCTGATGACGTTCTCTAGGAAGACTTTTAGGACACCACGAGTCTCCTCGTAGATTAATCCTGAAATGCGCTTTACTCCGCCACGACGAGCAAGACGACGAATAGCAGGCTTAGTGATTCCCTGGATATTGTCTCGCAAGACCTTCCGATGACGCTTCGCTCCACCTTTACCAAGACCTTTACCACCTTTACCGCGACCAGTCATTGTAAAATAAATAAATTGACTAGCTTTACTGTTCAGAGAGTAATGATGCGCTGAGTCTCTGGAGCCCCCTTTTTGTTAGAAAAACGTGCCACTGTTCCCTTCCTCTGCGGTGTACCCCCTCCACAGTGACAACGCATCTAGTAATGCGTGCGCAGTTCCCAAATTTTCACTCCCACTACAGCTCCTCTAAAATACGCCTATATAAAGAGGGCCACCTGTGCACTACCATGTTACTGTGACACCCCGCTCATCAACGGCACAATCATAATTCTCGAAGATGGCTCGCACGAAGCAAACTGCTCGTAAATCTACCGGAGGTAAGGCCCCTCGTAAGCAACTCGCTACAAAGGCAGCTCGCAAAAGTGCTCCTGCAACTGGCGGAGTTAAGAAACCTCATCGATACAGACCTGGTACGGTGGCACTGCGAGAAATTCGTCGTTATCAGAAGAGTACTGAACTCTTGATCCGCAAATTGCCGTTTCAGCGCTTGGTGCGTGAAATAGCGCAAGACTTCAAAACAGACTTGCGGTTCCAAAGCTCCGCTGTTATGGCTCTTCAAGAAGCTAGCGAAGCCTATCTCGTGGGTCTTTTCGAAGATACAAACCTGTGCGCCATACACGCCAAACGCGTAACTATTATGCCTAAAGACATCCAACTGGCAAGGCGCATACGTGGCGAGAGAGCTTAAGCCTACGGTAGGTCCCAATTCAACCAGTCCTTTTCAGGACTACAAATGTTTTAAAACGTATCCGAATCATGATTCCACTACATTACACTAAGGTAAATAAAGGAACACTAACTCTTACATCAAATAAAATTTCTATAATCTTTCCTCAAATATAGATTATTTCACCAGTAAAATTCCGCCTTGAAAATTTTGATTATCCCACTTGGATTTATACGTAATTATAACAGTCGCGCCCAAGCGCTTGCCGAACGCATGCCCGTGACCCATCGCTGTGACTTAGATTCTCTAAACGGCCCTTTTCAGGACCACTAAGTCTTTAAATCGTCAGAATACCATCTCGTTGTAAGGGTAAAAACCGATTAAAGCGATGATCTAAGAAGTTGAATTAAATAATTGATATCATTTAAGTCCCACGCTGATCACTTGTAGATTAATACAATTAATAGTCTATCTGAAAAGATAAACATTAATTTGATTTACCCACGGGAAGTATCGCATCTTTAATTACCATGCTAATGTCATAATGACGAAAATTCGGCTTAAATGCAGCAGTTTTATTTTTGTATGCGAGATACATTTGCAGTTTAGTTCTATTCCTGTTGCAACTGGCACTATTTGACAACTTCATAAATTCTATTCGTGGAACTAAGTTGCAGCTGTCAATTAGCATGGACTAAGAGTGCCTGTGTATGGAAGAAATGCTGTTTGGCAGTTGCCAAACCTACCTACTCGTTTTATGATCCGTGATCTTAATTCGTGATTAAGAAAAAAGGTCATGCGACGTTTCTCAACTTACGTTGCGGCAGATTTTTTACACACTTCAGGCTCAGCACTTAGTACGTAATGGAGGCGTCGTCGGTATTGATTAGGCCGGGCTAGGTACGTGGAGCATGATGAAATAAAAAAACCTTGTAAATCACACACCTATCTAATAAGTATAAAAAAACACCTACAAGGTGACTTGTTGAATAAATGACTTGATTAATCAAAATCAGCTGTATCGTTACTGTTTGGTTTCATTTATTGAACACACGCTCCGTTAATGGAATAGGGATTCCAACCTACGACTTGGCGGTAACTTACGGAAACTATTTTTTTCATATACTTCCGGTGTTGAGTTTCATTTTTGTTAAGTTGAATCCTTCAGTCCTTTTTTTTGCCAAAATGTATCGACGGTCAGGAAGAAGTAAGCTTAGCTCAGATTTTGCCATTTCAAGTGTAACAGAGAAATCTGAGCTAAGCTTTTCTTCGTCCGGGCCGTCGGTATGTAGTATCATAATTATATTGCCATAGGATGCAGTAGGTGACATTACCGACAACAAATGACTGTAAACATGATGTAAGAATGTAAGGTGTGGCGTTGCACATCCATTTTGATTGACCAATAAGTAACGCTTCCATCGCGCCATCATGTCTGTCTGCGAATTTCAAAAGTTTTAAAAATATAAAGCATATTAACATCAAGAAACTCGTGAAACAATATGTTTTTTACTTCAATACTTTCATTCCACTGCGGTTTATTGTATAGGCTCTTCGGCGCTGTAATACTCACATCTCCCACAAATATGGCGATGGAAGGCACCAGACGATATTTTGTTTTCGCTCCGAGCCGATACAGAGGTTGCGCCCTCTCTAGCCAAAATCAGGCAAAATTTCTTGCATGTAAACAAACGGTTTAGAACATATATACATACGTACAGCTGCTTGTGATTGGCACTTGGCAAGCTAGAGAGAGAACGACGATCCTCTCCTGCTGTCTTATTCAGCCAAGTGCCAATCACAAGCAGCTGTACGTATGTATATATGTTCTGAACCGTTTGTTTACATGCAAGAAATTTTGCCTGATTTTGGCTAGAGGGGGCGCAACCTCTGCATCGGCTCGGAGCGAATACCTACACAGATTGTGCTTGAAAATATTTGGCGCGGGATTTGAATCACCCTTATAACTAATTATTATTAAGTAAACCTCCAAAATCTCTGTATCTTTATAAAGAAACACAGGAAAAATAACTCAGCAGTTTTTTTCGTGAAACTACAATGTTAGGCATGAAAATTATTACAGGAAATTAGTCTCCGATAAAAAACTATATAAACTAGACTGGCGTTTCAACATTACTGTACTAGTTCTTTTCTCCGTGTGAGTTTGAGCTAAACGAGAATCCACGATCCATATATTATGACTTAGCGTATTATTGATGTGTTGAAATAGGTACTAACGCCAAGTACTTGAAGTGATTCCAAGACAGTTTGTGGCACTTTTAGGAAAAACTCCGACAATCGCATCAACTGTAAAGAGTACAAAGATACTTATTTCATCGGAAAGTACAGCCGTTTGCAATATTATCTGCGTAATTGCTCATCTACCGTGGTACGATGTAGAGTCCTTACGAACTCTGGGGATCCATTGAATGTCAATATAGGATCGCCTACTCCTACTCGCGAATACCTGTCAGTTTAAACAGCAGTCTTCTGGCTAGACCTTGTCAAAAACCTGACTAGGGTTCTTATGAATGAGCTTACAGAGGCCTCGACAGAGGCTTTCCGGAGAGTCGTTCTATGTTACAAAAGTTGATACACTGCTGAAAATCTGGTTTAGAAGCAGCATAATTATACGTGGGTGAAATATTTTTTCTTCAATGCTTTTGTACGAACGTGTAAAAAAAATCATAATTTTGACAATTGCATTTATCAATAAAATTACATCGATTGTTGTACTACTTGTGGAAGAACTTTTAAGGTGCAAATAATGTGAGGCTAAAGCTAGTAGCTGCACTGTAAAAAAAAAAATCTTGTTCTACTTGGGGTATCCTTAAGACTAGACCATCAGGTATCTTTGTAATCTGAAAAATATAAAAAAGTACATACTTGTCTTGGTTCTAACGGTACTAAAAGGATTTGGTATTTAATTCTAATAAGTATAATATTAAACAATAATAAGGATCTCTACGAGGAAATTGTTGTGGCCCAAAGTTTTTTTTTTTTTTTTTATAACAAAGTATAAGTTATTAGTAAAATAACAACAAACCTTGAAATATTGACACAAGGTACAAAAAAAAGGTAAGTAGCTATCACACTTGCAGTAAAAAACTTGATTATGATTTTTTTTTTAGTCGTGAGCTTGAATCGCCCTCTCGTGTAGCTATTTTGTGATGTTTTTCAATTATGTTTTTTTTTTTTTTTTTTTTTTTTTCTGTTGCTTAATAAGCAGCGCTGCGCGATAAAGAGGTTCTTTCGTGTGCTAAGCCTCTCTCGATCTATTCGTTTTGTGTCGTGTTCGCTTGTATCCATTTAAAAAAAATAGTATTAGAGGCTTTTCGTATTTAATTCGAGATTTAATTACGTTCGTTTTTTAAAATACTGTTGTATTGTGAACATTGTCAAAAATCATTTTTTTCTTTATCAAATTTTTAAGTTATAGTGAGCACGCGTTGACTCTAAAGTGTATTCAAATTGTGTTACTTGTTTAATCTCCAATGTTAGTTTTATTTTCCAAAAAAAATTATTTTTGAGTGAAATTATTCGTAAGATTTTCGATTACCCGTGACAAACACAAACTGGTAATTTCTGGAGAAACTTTAAAACATAAGAATCTTCGACTGGACAGGAAGTATGCGTGAGCTATGCTTGGACCACTAATATCTATAAAATATTATTAATACAAGGCTTTGCAGATTTATTATTTTTTTTAATTTGTTTCAGTATTTGTATATGAAATAATTAAAAAATAATATTTGGTTTTAAAATTTTTTATAAAATAAAAAAAAACGATTGAACAATTTTTTTTTTTAATTTGCCTCCAACCAAATAGAAAACGTATTAATATTTGGTATTAAAACACGTTAGAGTTTGTATTGAATTTTTGCCTCGTTATTTCATAAATCATTCAGTAAGTATTCCAAATGAATGTTTTTATGTTTTCATTCGAATGTTGGGCCTCTTTAATCCATAGAGCTTGAACATGGAGCATTTTTAAATCGTGTTTCTAACTTTAGATCTTATATCTAATGTCGAGGTTATGCCTAATAATTTGTCCAACTTATAAAGCAAATACAAATAAAGGAAAGTTTTTATGAAATTTTACTAGATAAGCCTATTGACATTTCACAAAAGGCAGAATATTTCATAAATAAATAAAAAATGCATAAAGAACAAAGAATGTTTTATACACCGTATGAGCCTGAAAGAAAAATCTGCAGAGTAGATTTTAAAATGATTAAAATTAGTATTTATTCAATACCTGACCACAATTAAGATCATCAGATATTCATTCCAACTTATTTTACTTTCTACAAAATTTGTCGTATGGGAAAAAAGAGTAATAATTAATTAATTATAAACATAATTGTGTGTTACATTTAGAGGAGTGAGGAAAAGTTGTTTCAAATATCATTTTTATTCGACCACTTTAAATGAGTATTGCTCATGGCTTATAATTTTGTAGCAAAGTCAAGTTTTTCTTTATTACACAGATGCCGATGTATTGAATTTTAACAATGGATAATAATAATTAATCATTGTTTTATAATAAATTAAAAACACTCATCTGTTACAGGAGTAAGTGCAATCGATACACCGCCTTTCATGGTCTCTCCTTGAGGTACGCGCTTACAGGCTAAAAGAAAACTCTGCGTCCACTACAGAATATTCTCTGTGTAGACAGTCTCTTAGTGTTTGTTCGCTTCCTTGAAGAATTCTCTATCGTCATGGCTGATGTTGCAACTTCGTCTGCTCCTGCGAATGCAGCGCCGAAGAAGGCTGCCACGAAGAAGACCAGCTCGAAAAAACCCGCTGTCAAGGCCGCTCATCCATCCGCCGCGGAGATGGTGAACAAAGCCATTGCAGCTCTGAAAGATAAGAAAGGATCCTCTTTAGCTGCCATCAAAAAATACATCGCTGCCAACTTTGTGGTCGACGTAGCGAAGCAGTCGATCTTCATCCGGAAGTACCTTAAATCTGCTGTTGAAAAGAAGACCCTCGTCCAAACAAAGGGAACTGGGGCATCCGGACGCTTCAAACTCGCCAGCGCAGTGAAGCCCGAAAGTGAGACAAAAGCGGTTGTCAAGAAACCTGCAGCCAAAAAGCCAGCGGCCAAAAAACCTGCAGGCGAAAAGAAGGTAGTAAAAAAGCCAGCCGCCAAGAAACCAGCTGTCGAGAAAAAAGTAGCGCCGAAAAAAGCAGCAGCCAAGAAACCAAAGGTTGAGAAAGCAGCGAAGCCAAAATCACCATCGAAGGCGAAAAAGACCGGGAAAGTTTCAACTGCTAAACCCAAAACCCCCAAGCCTAAAAAAGTAGCAGCTGCTAAACCGAAAACAGCCTCCAAAAAATAAGTGGCACCCACTTGATTAATCGGCCCTTTTCAGGGCCAACACATCTTTTTAACGTAAAGAAACCGCTAGTGGTATCTAACGCTCCATAAGTAAAAAAAATCTCGGCCAAGTGTAGTAAAAATTACTATTGACGTTATGGTATTGAGCGATAGGATCCATCCAAGCTGAATCGTCTAATAACCAATCCGCTGATTAGAAATTAATAATTATGCTTATCAAACCCTTTTATTTACTGCTTAATCCGTAATAGCGATGCCGACAGGTGATCTATTCGATTGAAGCTTATCGATTGCTCTTACAAATATTGATAAACGGTCGAACTATTTTACTAAAAGGCGTTTTTATCACGTTATCTAGGTAACTGCATATTTAATATAATTGGCGTCCAGTAAATCCGATGTTAACTTGAGTGAACCTGGACCGAAAGATTACTTCTCTGTTTCTCTTAAAATGTACTGAGCTCAGAAAAAGTATACTTCTGTAGTACCCGGAGATGTCTCGGAATGCTCAGAACCCTGGGAGTATCCCCTAGCAGACGCTATTGAATTGAATAAAATTTTTATTCGCTGTTGGAATACAAATGTTCGCCATAACACAAATACAATTTAAAGTATATTACACACTCAAGTATTGTGTGCCTAGTACACCTATGCATTTTAACTGAAATGAGCATATAGAACGAATTTCTCTTTTAATCACGTATGGAAACAAGTGTCTGTAACTTATAAGTATATAAACCATTATATGCTCAAGTTAGCGTTTTGTATAAATTCTGTTAGTATTTTCAGCATGTCATTATCCATATCACTTAGCATAAAAATCAGAAAAGTTAGCTACACGCTATATCCCGGCAAACACATGCGAGAAAATGTGTTTGCTGGGGATACTCGAAAAAAATGAATCAGCACCATCTAGCGGCTTACGTCTCAGCATGGATAATAACAGTAGTGCATCTAATTTAGGATTGAGTTAGTTCAATGTAAAGACAGTTATTGGTTTACCGAAGTAAATATCTCCTTGCAAATTATAAAGTAAAACATATTTTGGAAAAATGGCAGCAATTCTAAGAGTTAAGCGAAAGAAGGATGATGAACCGCAGGATGCATTCTTGATATCATGCAAACGTGCCAAAGTTGAGGACGAAGCCGCTGTCACCGAGCAGCCACTCACTGCGCTCGTAAAGTTTGCAGGAACCGTCGAAAAAACAGTAATCTAATGCCTATTATCAGTACTTAGTTCTACTTGTCTTGCAGCTTATTTATTTATTTTTTTAACTTTACCTTATATATCAATTTTTAGGAAGACTGCGTCGTAGAACACATAACCAAGTCCTTGAGCAAGAATTATCTTAAGGCAAATTACAAGCAGCACTTGGTCGACGTTACTCAGAAAATACGCGAAAAAACAAAACAAGAGTCCAACGAGAATCGATTCAAGGTTGTCAATAATATACGCTCCATTGATTCAGTTCTAGCTGGTCCACTCGATGAGGATGTAGTTAATATTATTGACATAGAGGATACCAAAGTCGATACAGATGACAAGGTAAACTTTTTCTTCAATTATTTTTAATACAAATACTTAAGCTTGTTGTTGTTGGGAAATATACATCAATAAATATTTTGTGTTTTACGTTTTTAGAATGATGATGGGTTTGTGTACGATTTGTACTACACTCAAACAAAAGAGGATCTGACAGTAGACAATTTATTGTCTGTTTTGCCAATAGAAGAGGAAGAATTGGTATTTGAAGATCACTACAGAGATGAGCGAGAACGTGATGGTGAAACGTCAGACTCTAATTCAGAATCAAACAGAAGAAATGAGTACCCGGATTCTGACGACTGCAACGATGATGTCGATGAGGACGATGACAATGATTCTATTGGCGAGACTGCTATCAGGAGAGCTCTCCAGAGGATAGGAATCGATGAGGATGATGATTTATCAAGCGATGATGAAGATTTTGTTTATGGTCTTGATGAAAAAGATGTTGATGAATATGGTTATAAATATGCCAAGTACAAGGCTCAACTGAAGCAAGAAGAGGAAGGAGATTCCAATGATAGTTACGATGAAGATAGCGACGTTGATAAAGATGACTTTGGTGAAGGATATGAAATGACAATTACCGATGACTAATCTTCGAAGTTGTGTTCCTTTACAATTATCTTATGTGAGTTCTAAGGGTACTCTAGTTAAACGCAAATTAAACTTGTACATAATGGAAATTTTGAATAAAGTATTTTGTTATAAACGGTGTTTTTTGTTTTGTTAATATAAAAAGTTCTATTGATTTATAATTCATATGTATAAAAACTTATTTACAATTTTCCGTATAATACATAAGGTAAATAATTAAATATAAAATTATTTAACTTAAAAACCACTTAACAATAGCATATATAATTTCTTTTGACATGGTTTACAACTTATGAAAACTTGTTGATTCTTCCATTAGTGTGATATAATCTTTTACGTCCTTTATATATCTACTTAAAAATTTGTAATCTCTTCTTATATTTACAACTAACTGCTTGACATCGTTTATTCTGTAAGAAAGTTTAAATGATAAACATATATTTCTTAGCAGCATAAAGTACAATGAGTAGTAAGCAACGTTAGTTTACCTTACATCACCCAAAATACATATAACATCAATATCGTCTGGACCAATGTCACTAAATGACTTAAGAGCAACGGATAATTTTAAAATAATATTTGCTTTTCTAGATGAAGCCATAAAAATAACCCTGGAAAATACAAAGTTGAGTAATTTGTATAAATAATTTGGAAGCATAGACGATTTTTGATACTGGTGCACATAGCCATGGATGCCAGTGAATGGCTTAATGATTAAAAATTGTCCTTAGATGTGCACTAGTTTCAGTGAATGACAAATGTTTAATAATAATACTAAGGAAAACTAAACTTATAGTATACTTTGAGTACCTTCTTTCATCTATATCTAATAGATTTAAAGCATTTAGCTTTTCGAGATCAAACATGAATTTCATTGCGAAAATAACTTCGCTTGAAACAAATTCTAATAATAGCAAAACGTCTTCAAATACTTTGTACTTGTCCAGCATATCACTAGGATTCAATTTAGACAGCAAAATATTGTGAACAATCTTCATTAGTACATTTTTCGACTCCACTGAAAACGAGAAAAATTTATTTTTTAGAAAATTTTGATCATACCTACATACATACATACATACACACATACATATATGACATTTCAATTCGCAACTTACCGGAAACTCGGGATATGACTTCAATTTTTTCAATATCCTTTGTAGAGTCAGATCTTTTAGCTTCTGTTAATTTTATAACAATAACAAGAGACTTTGATATAAAATCAATGGCAATGAGTTTCGTATCTATTTTACGCACAGACCAAATGCAATCATCCCTATAAAACGTGTCAGAAATTTATCACTTATTTTAAGATCAAAACTATTAAAAAATCATAACTTTCATACCTTTTTTCAAATGACTTTAAATCTTCTGTCAACTGTTCAAAAGGTGACAGTGTTTCTTTTATCACATTTTCATTTATTACTTGTACTCCGTCAACCTTATCTTGGGTTACAGACAACGCTTCCAAGAAATTTGCCTTTTTCTTGGACGTTTTTACATCTGCATCACTTTTTGATAATCTCTTCAACTCTTCCAACAACTCTTGCCGTCTTTTTCTAATCCTCATGATATTTTCAGAAAAATGATTTGAATCCAACTTTTGCTGAAATTTCTGTGGTACTGGTTTAGGTGACAAGTTACTGGCAATAAGTTTCCTGCTGTTTTCCAGCTCAGCAAATGGCACAATCACATTGTCATCCTCCAATATTCTCATGGACGAGTTGGGCCGATCCCCATCACCAACATCACCTTCATCACCGTCATCGTCAGGTAGTTTAGTGATATCGCTCAAATCGTCCTCTTCTTGAAAACTCTCGGAAGCCAAGAACGACGGGGGCTCGATGTTTTCAAGCTCAGAATACTTTTCGACAAATAGATTGATTTTCACGCTTGGCTCTTTGTTCTCTTTGTCCTCGTCAAGCTCATTCTCGTCGTCCTCCTCGATATTGACCGGACCTCTGCCTCCAGGACTTTTGACAATGGGAATTCCTACATGTGGCACTCCATTTTCGATGGCTTGTGCTCTATCGACAACTTCCTGCTCAGCTTGACTCTCGACATTTTCTGTACCAGTCGCGTCCGTTCTGGTCACTTCGGTTTGAATCCCGTCACTCTCAACTGCAGCGAACGTTCTATTCGGCTCGGCTGAGCTATGTTCAGCAGTTTCACCTTGATTTTCCTCACTCGGATCCCCAGTCACGACAAAAGTCTTGTCGATCGGAGGCTTCTGCGAGACTTTGATCGTCGTCTTCTCGTTGATGATCAATGGATACGCCAACTCCGTTTTAAAGCCCATGGTAGCCAGCAACACCTCGGTACTGTCCGATGGCATCTTGCTCAGACTGTTATCATCCGGATTTTTAGATTTGCTCGAACTTTCACTGGCTGGCATGTAAGTACAGACTGCCTGCGAGGCTGGATTTCTTTTGGCGGCTGGCTCACAGGTCTCGTCCGATTTTCTTTTGGCATACGCTTTACTCGTAGAAGCTCCACCGATTTCCATCGAGACGTCGTGATAAATCTCAATCCTTCCCGGATTTGCATTCACCTTGTACTTGCAGTGAGCTTGAATACTTTGGGCGTCCCCACTCGCCAAAGTCTCTTTTACAGTGCAGGAGCTCTGTGCCGACTGGTCGGTGACTTTGATGCTGTTGTGCACCACAATGGCAGCTGTTTTTGGAGGATACTCTTGGATCATTGATACGTCCATCCTGGAGTGTGATTTGTCAACTTCGGGAATCGATACTATTCTATCCGGTAACGTTGAAGGTGCAGGAAAAACTTGGTGAGAGCCAGAGGGTTCGGCTGATGGCACGTTTTTCAAGCTGATTTCAGCAGTTTTATCTGTATCCATGGGAATCGAAGACAATCGGGGTAGCGTCATATTTTTCAAACCGAGGTGCGTGGTATCGTCCACGTCCATTTCCGCCAGCGGAACTCTCTTGAAATTTATCTCAGACGTTGTCTCCATTGGGATCAACGGAGTGGTGATCGATTTCGATAGCATATCCGTTTCAAAGACATAAAAGTTATTCTGACCGGTCGTTGACTTGTTCACAAAACCACCATGCGCTCCCAACACGTTTGTGCTCATGGACATATTTTTCGATGCATCTCTGCAAGATTCCATCTCGAAATCTGTTTTTGAATTATCCTTGCTGTCTATGATTTCATAATTCCTTGCAGAAGCAATCTCCGCACTTGTACTTTGCATAGGAAGAATGTTTAGTTGCTGAAAAAGTGTACCATTCCTCAACGAGTCTCGCAAAGCATTGAAATCATTGCACGGAATCGAGGAATTTTTCATCGCGGTGTTCTCTCTGGAGTACTTTTGAATCGGCAGATTCATCGACGCGCACAAGCTGTTCAATTCATCCGAAGTTATCCTGTCCAGATGATCGTTGCCGATGCTGCTGTTGAAGTAACTCGACACGTTCATGGGATTCTGAGTGGCATCCATTCTAGTCGACAAAATACTTTGATTATGAGAAACATTAGTTTTTCTCGACCGATTGGTTGCACTGGTTGCAGTTGGAGGCAGCGCGGAAAGATTCATCGATGCATTGTCAAAGATTTTAGCCAGGCCATCTGGTTCCTCATAGATCATGAATTTCGCACTAACGTCAGTGACACCTGCTCTAGATTTTCTTGAAATATCCAATTCGTTTTGCACATTGTTGGGCCTGCTGCAAGAAGAGCTCAGATTACCAGGCACGTTTTTTAACAAGTTGCCAGTTTTTCTAGTTTCCTGGTTGGCTATTTTTTCACTCTCGCAGTTATATGTTTTTTTAGCCTGTGATGCGCTTAATTCTCCTGTCATTTCCATAGAGTCATTATTGGGTGATTTTATGTTATTGTAAAAGGATTGATTACTGGAAATATTTTTACCAGACGTAAAGTAATGCACATTAGAATCACTTTTTGGAATGGTTGACACTTTGTAAATTGGACTCATTTGATTGCGACTAGCAAAGTGAGGTCCTCCGTCCTCGGTAGATCTATAGCTGTTTAAAACAGCAAAAGTTTCCGTCAAATCCATAGATTTGTTTGAAAAGATTTTTGTTTTTTCTTCAGTAGGATTTATCGACTTGTCGGATTCTCGTACGTCCAAAAGCACAGGAAGAGCTTCCGTGATCTCCATCGATTTGTTGTTGAAAAATCTAGTTTTATCACTAACTAAAGGAACTTTTGAATGTTTTATCACTGAAACGTTTTGTTCAATTGGAGCTGTCTCTGTGATATTGACTGAATCGTCAGCGAATATTTTTGTTTTCTCTGCTCCATCATCAGCCAACATTTGTCGATGTTGCAAGTTTAAAAGAATGTTTTGCGGTACAGGAATAGTTTCTGTAATATTCATAGACTTGTCATTAAAACACTGTGTTTTCTCCTGATACAAATCTTTAGGACTTGGAGAATCTTTGCTTATAATAGATGCTAATGGCTCGTCGATTTTCTGGCTGCTGCATTCATAATTTGTATTGTAAACAGGAACTTGCTCTGCTGATAATTGAACTTTGGTTTTATTAATTGGTACTCTTTCGGGGTATTGATGTGCACTAGATACCGGAACTGTCATCGTCATATCCATCGATGTATCAGCAAACACTTTAGTCTTTTCTAGCACTTCTATTCTGGTGACCCTTGGTTTGGATTGGTAAATCTTGGGAACAGGTACTGATTCCGTCATTTCCATGGATGCATCAGCAAGTGCGTTTGTCTTTTCAAGTAAATGAGTTTGTACCAACTTTCCTGTGATATTGGCTTGATCTTTAATTGGATTATAAAATGCTACGGCTTCAGTCATCTCCATAGGCTCATTTCCATAAATGTTAGTCTGGTTTTCGTCAAGTTTATTAGCGAATTTTCCGTGGTTTGAATGATGAAACTTATAAAATATTGGGATCGTTCCTGTCGTGTTCATTGATTTCTCCGCATGCAAAGTATTGTTCGGAGTTCTTTCCACAAGAGGGCGAGATTGAATACAATCTGTATTGAGGGCAGAAATAGCTTCAGAATTTTTCATGGACTCATTCGGAAGAACATTGGTATTCTGTTTTCTATTTTCATTTTCATTACAGTTCATAATAGGCTCTGTCATCTCCATTGATTTATTGGTAAAAATTTTAGTTTTATCTCCATTGACTTTTGGTAGTACTTTACTTGGCATTTGATCACAATCCTCAATATAGATTGGAATCACTTCTTTTGACTTGTAAAAATTGTTGGATTTGTTTTTTTGAATTTCCTGCAAAATCATGTCATGCATTTCATCACGATTTTCGATGTAAACAGGAATAGCTTCAGTTACTTCAACTGATTTATCTTTAAAATATTTTGTTACATCCCTATCTTCTGGGTGTAAACCATTTTTTCTCGGCACTTTTTCACAATTTTCAATATAAACGGGAATGGCTTCGGTCGCTTCTACTGATTCATTAAAGATCTTTGTTTTATCTTGCAACGATTCATCCGAAATTTTTCGTGTACACTCAATATGTTTATAAGCTGCAGTTTCTGTTGTTTTTATCGTTTCTGGGACAGTATTACAAAGACGAAGGTTTGTTTGAACGATTTGTTGAAGTGGCATTGCTTCTGTTATTTCCATGGACTCGTCTCCAAATATCTTAGTTTTTTCTAACAAAATAGAAGTTCCATCTGTATTTATTTCATCATGCATATTGTTTTGTAGTGTTGCATTCGAAAGGTCTGTTGCCCGCTTGTCAATTACTATTTTTTTTTCACTGTGACAAATACTATTTGGTTTTATCCAAGTAGAGCTAGGAATCACAGAAGTAAATTCCATTGGTGCAGTGTTTTCAATGTTTTCACTCAAACTTTGACTGTTAGTTGGGTCGGATGATTGTTTATTTACATGACCAGCTCCCAACAGTTGTGAGATAGCAATAGTAAGCTCCGTTGAATTGCCTCCATGGTTTTTAAGCATGTGAGTTTTATTGCTCTGATGAGCTGTTGAATTTTTACAAGGTACCATAGGTAGATTATCTGTTATGTCCATACACTCTTTGTCGTTTAGGTAGTCTGTACATTGATTATGGCACGCAATAATTCTAGATGGCAAATAAGTTGTATCCATGCCATCATCACAATAAATCGTTGCATTCTCTTTATCTTCATTCTGCAACCCTGGATTGTTCAGAGTATTATCCATTTCCATATCACACTGTGATAAGTTATCATCTCTCGCAAGAGTATTAGATGAAATTTCTGTACATTCAACCTGGTCAGTCCGTAAAAACAGTTGAACTGGAAAATTCTCTTTGTCCTGGCATGAAACTGTTATAGTCAGTGGTTCGTTGCCACCTGTACTGTTGCTTTTCGTGCCACTGGAGTCATGCTCTTCATAGGTATCATCCCAAACTGCTTTTGGCTCGGCTTCATTGCAAAACTCCCTAAAAATATGTCTCAAAAGTAGTACTAGATTACTTCTGCCTTAAAATTAAGTTTAGAAATGTCACTTACCTGATACGCTTGTTTTTAGCAAAACTGACTCTTCTCTTTAATTTTATGGTAGGCGAACTCTCCAAGGGATCAGGATTTGGAGCAACACACTGCAGAGGCTGACGTGGTTTCGTGGGTTTTAAAATCTGAAAAATTTAAACAAGACATCAACAAACAGATGTTAGGGGCGTCAGGTTCGTTTCTTTGACTGCACTTGTAAGGGACAAAATAAATCACTGATACATGGATGCTCGACTACTTACGGACGATTGCCTCGAAACACCTTCCAACTTTGCGGGATCCCTAAAAACAGTAATAAACAAATTGTAAAAACAACTAAATTAGCAGAGACACTTGACATAGGTTATAATACAAGAATCTTGTTTACATCGTTCGATTTGAATTCTGGGACGACTAATACACTAATTGATTTTCGTAAAAGTCTACACTGAGATCTTTCAATCGGAACGTCTTACATTTGCACTGACATTTTTAAAGTACGGCAATATCCTTTTTTTGCACTGACATTTGTAACGAAAGCGTATACGCTCATATTCAAACTGAAGAGAGAACGCCGTGAAAAATAAAAACATGCAATATGGCGGCTGATAACGACATTTTAAAAATTTCAAACCGTCAGCTGGCTCCATCTGCATCTCAGCTGGTAACACAACAACACAAGATTTCTGCATTACCGTTCTCACGGGGTAAGGGTCTTATGATAAATGCACTTTTTGTTTATTGAGGTCTTTTTAACACCGCAAAAGAGAAACGTTGTTCATTTTTATCAAAAGAAAGGTACTAAACTCTTTTAATTACTAACATGTTTTTGCTATATTCTTGTAAAATTCTTGTAACACATATTTATTGTTGAAAAAAAATTAACTTTAAAAAACAATATATTTTTCCGACAAATTAGATTACACTGTCGAAAATTTTCAAAAATTGAAAAATTTATACTGCCAGAAACAAAAATGTTAAAACAAAGAAAAAGTTATCAATTTTTGATAGATTCATCAACTGCAATGCACCTCTTCAGTGTATGTTTTTTATCTTATCCCCAAAATTCTAATCTTCAACAAAAGTTGGTACAGTCAATTTTATTTAAATTACAGTATTATTTAACTTATATAAGTGATTTTTTTCATACCAAAGTCTAAAAAATTATTCTGAAGCATCCACTGATACAAAAAAATTGAGAAATTATGATAAATGAAAATTTTGTCCAAAAAAATACGTACGAATCTCTCTTTGTACACACATANTAAAAAAAACATTTAGAAAATTTGAAACAAGACTTTCGTCTCGACATTCGTATCATATAAATTCACAAGTAATTCACGAAATTTTACCAAATTTTTAGTAAACTTTGAAAAAAATTCTTCAAAAGCTCTTTCGATCTCTGCTGAGCAAAGCTGGGGTACAAGAATTTTTGGAAAAAAACAAAAAAAAACAAATGTTTTGAAAACTGTCTCGTATCACCTCTCCAGGATAACAACGACTTTTCTAACATTCCGAACAAAATCAGATTATTTCCAAAGGTTCGCAAGAAACTTCAATTCAACATTTTCCAGAGCTCCACGACGCGCCCGCACGATTTTTAGTAGAATCGCTCGTATACGCACGCACACGGCGAGAGAGAGAGAGAAAAAAAGGAGAGAAACTTGCGAGAGGCACACAGATATTGGGGGCAAAGTCGGGAAGATCGTATAAGAAGAAGAAGAAGCCGCAGACGGGCTCTCCTTTTTTTCCCCTGTATTTTTCTCGGGGCTCTTATAGGAGGGCAGGGACGAAAGAATATATGGCCCCTTCTTACATATATACATGTATATGCACCATGGCGCGTTGTGCCAGTAAGAAACGAGCGAAATGAAAGAAAAATGGCGAGAGAGAGGAAAGAAAGAGTCGTCGCTTACAGCAGAAGGAAAAAGTAGCTGTGAAGTATATAGTTCTGCTCGGAGTGCAGTGGATGAATGAAAAAAAAAAAAAAAGTAAATTTCACCAAAGTAGGAGAGACAATTATTCATCTCCTCGTATATATGAAAGGCAGATGCAATGGAAATATGGAAGAGAGAAAAAAAAAAAAAAAAAAGCTCAGAAATGGGACTCATTCACCTCATCCGGCGAACATATTATAATGAAAGCACAAGAATAGAGCAGGCGATTGGGCGCTCAGCAGGAATTCAGTGACGATCTTCGTGACACACACGTCAACGCTTGATAACAAAAGCTCCCTCTGGCTTGTGCCCTGCCTGCATTGTCGTAAGTGTGTATGGAATAAATAAAAGCTCGTTGTTATACACCTACATCGGTTACAATGGCATTTGTATGCGAATGTGTGAGTTTGACAAAGTAGTACGTTTTTGGCCTACAAATGTAGAACTTAATTTTTTTAACTGAAACATCCTTTCGTTTTTCTTGATAGACTAATAGAGCCGAAGATTAAGGTCTTCTGGTGTACCACTTTTCTTTTGCACTCCAATGACCAAGTGTCAAAATTTGTTTGTTTGTTAATTAATTCAATCGAATTCCAGATTTTAGAATCTTATTTCTTTGTTTGTTGTTTTACAGTCGTTAATCAATATTTTTTAAATCCATTAATTTTTTGTTGTGCTCGCAGATAATTTATGACAGCTTAGTAATAAATATCAGAGGTGACATTTTTTATTATAACAGTAGATAATTATATTTCCATCAAAAACAGTGGGAAATTCAATAAGTGTATCATCCCATTTTCTGCTGTTCTAACTTTTTAAAAAACTGCACGATTTTTTAATTGTCTTTTTCAGTCTTTAATTGTTCTCTTAAAGACAAGTTTTTTTTTTTTGTAAAGACTATTTATTTTAACTGAACTATACTATAACTCTTATATTCAATACTTTTGAAATGAAAAATTTATAGGACAACTTTCCACAAAACGGTTTCTTTGCTATTTTTAAATTATTTTCGTCTTTCGTAGCATTAATACAACATTATGAAAGGAAAAAAAAAAAAAAAAAAAAAAAACATTAACTACACATAAGAGCGATTTGTAAGATCTACTAGAATAATAGTATTTTAACAACTGGTCGTTGAAAGTTGATTATTCGAATGATTAGTAAAAAATGATTTTTTTCCTTATTTTCGTCACATTTTTTTTCCACAGAATATCGACAGCATTTTAGAGTACAATTGGACAATAAAAGCCTTTTATTCCATCAAAATCACCGAGGTTTTACTTCAATCCAAGCATTCAAATAAATAATGAGTTTTAAGAATTGCTGGAAGAAACAGGATTTGTTTTTTCTAAAAAAAATTAGGTATTTTTGCCTTTGTTTAAAAAACATGAGCCATCTGATTTAATTATCCTCTCAATTTGAGCTATATAGGCTAATAGTTACTGTAATAACTTCCTTCCGCTTCACAAAGTTTATTATCAAGTCTTAATGGTATTTTTCCTACGAGTTTGAAAAGTCTCTGTTTGCGAACCGAAAGGTTTGCGGCCCGAGCCGAAGGCGAGGTCCGTAACGAGGTTCGTAAAGGAGACTTTTCGAACGAGTTCCGGAAAACTGCTTTTTCGCCCGAGGAAGTACCAGCCTCCCAAAACCACCCGAGGGCGGAAAACTGTTTTTTCGCCCGAGGAAGTACCAGCCTCCCAAAACCACCCGAGGGCGGAAAAAATTTTTTTTTTGTATATAGGTATTCATCATGAAATTACCTCGGACCACCCTCATATTATCAAAAAAATAACGATTATTAAAAAAAAAAAAATTTCTAAGCACCGAGTGAAAAAGTTCTTACTTGAAAGTAGAGAATAGGATTTTAGCTCAGCCACAATAATAATCAAAAGTTCATAAACAAAAAAGAAAAAAAAAAAATCGACCGATCACGCGTATGCTCACACGTGTCTCTTTGGCAGGCTTTTGAACATCGCGTGCGCAGCGAAGGCGAGAACGCGTACCGTAGTCCTAACGCGGCCTAGCAGGGACGAGGTCCTGCAATTCAGTATTTTGGGAGGCTACGAGCGAGGCTTCGACATCTTCGTATCCAAGGTCGAGAAGAAATCCAAGGCCGAGGATGTGGGCCTCAAACGGGGCGATCAGATACTCGAGGTCAACGGACAGAGCTTCAAGCACGTCAATCACGCCAAGGCCCTGGAAATTCTTCGGGGCTCGACTCATCTCAGTATCAACGTCAAATCTAATCTCATANTTATAACAATACTATAGACAAAACTGGTCCTTACAAAAGGTGTATTTTTAGAAGATCTATACTTGTTCTATTAAACGTTATGTTAAAAAATGTGATGTACAAATAATAGACGGTGTAAAATAATATGTTGAAACGATTTTTGTCGATTAAATCGTCAATAAGGCACTTGAAAGAAAAATTTACTGGACAAAAAAGTTTGATTTTGATGAGCTCTACAACCTTTACCTTCAACATTTTGTTGTAGAATTGGAATTTATTGCTGTAACAGGCAAAAAACGGTTTTTTCGCTGTTTTCACACCTATTTTGCTGTACAAAGCGTCTGCATTGCACGACAGAGTAAAATGTATTAAACAAAAAAGTTGTATTTAAACGAGATCTGTAACTCACTCTATGAATGCAAACGTGTAAAATGTATGTTAAAAAAGTTATTACTGCGAGAAACTGTTTGTTTTTTTTTGTCTCAGAGCGCTGCACTGAAAATGCTCTCAAAATTTTTCCTTTTAATGAAACTTGTCCAAGCGTAAACCATCAGCTTAGACATCCAAATCAAAGTAACGCAAAAAATTGCAGCCCATTTATAAGTGGTTACACTCTTTGCTCTGGCAAAATAATGAGGCACTTCCATACATTGGTCGTGCCCAAAAACTTTGGTACAATTTGATATATATTTTTACTTTTAAACAGTATTAATTTAAACTTTAAAAATCAATAAGTACATTTTAAGCACATTTTTTTAGTGTTTCTTTTTGAAATTTTCGTTGAAGTGTAAAAAACAAAAAATTGACTCGCTTTGATCGATTGCAACTTTGTCTAGAAACAGGAAGATATAAAAATTAAAAAAAAAAACCTATCATAAAAAAAACATTTAGAAAATTTGAAACAAGACTTTCGTCTCGACATTCGTATCATATAAATTCACAAGTAATTCACGAAATTTTACCAAATTTTTAGTAAACTTTGAAAAAAATTCTTCAAAAGCTCTTTCGATCTCTGCTGAGCAAAGCTGGGGTACAAGAATTTTTGGAAAAAAACAAAAAAAAACAAATGTTTTGAAAACTGTCTCGTATCACCTCTCCAGGATAACAACGACTTTTCTAACATTCCGAACAAAATCAGATTATTTCCAAAGGTTCGCAAGAAACTTCAATTCAACATTTTCCAGAGCTCCACGACGCGCCCGCACGATTTTTAGTAGAATCGCTCGTATACGCACGCACACGGCGAGAGAGAGAGAGAAAAAAAGGAGAGAAACTTGCGAGAGGCACACAGATATTGGGGGCAAAGTCGGGAAGATCGTATAAGAAGAAGAAGAAGCCGCAGACGGGCTCTCCTTTTTTTCCCCT